TATCTCCATGTTTATCTATCGCAATAGCTCTCATATTTTGATTCTTCTACTATATGTTGATGATATCATCTTTACTGGAAATTTTGTACCCCTTTTGCATCAGTACAATGGTTTATTATCTACCCAGTTTGCTATAAAAGATCTAGCTGACCTGCACTATTTCTTGGGGGTTCAAGTGGTTCGAATTGTTGATATACTATTTTTATCTCAACATAAATATGTTCATGATCTTATCCACATGTTCCATTTTCATACCTTAAAATATGTTCATGATCTTCTCCACAAGGTCCATTTTCATACCTTAAAATTAGTTCGCACACCTATTGCTTCCAAAATGCCTTTATTTCTTAATGATGGAGATTTACTAGCTGATGACACAAATTATAGGAGTATGGTAGGTGTTTTACAATATCTAACATTGACGAGGCTTGATATTGCCTATGTAGTACATTTGGTGTCACAATTTATGCATGCTCCTTGCACTACTCATCTGCATGTTGTTAAAATAATATTCAGGTAGTTACAAGGCACATCTGATCATGGCCTCCTTCTGAGATAGTCAAAGCCTCCATCTCTTGTTGTAGCTTACTCTGACGCAGATTGGGTGGGGTGCCTGGATAGCTCATGATCTACCATGGGCTATGCTGTGTTTTTGTTGGTAATCTTATTTTATGGCACGCTAAGAAGAAACCCACAATATCTAAGTCCTAAATTGAGGTTGAATATAGAGCGATGGCTTACACCATCACCGAAACAACTTGGCTTAGATATCTCTTGACCGAGCTTGGCAATGTTCTAAAACAAGCAATTTAGTTGTTCTATGATAATATCAGCGCTACTTACATGTCGACAAATCCAATTCTCCATGATCGAAGCAAACACATCAAGATCTATTACCATTTTATTTAGGAACGAGTAGCTCATGGTGATTTATGTGTTCGATATGTTCCCACTAATCTGCAATTAGTCGATATCTTCACAAAGGAACTGTCATCACATCGATTCCTATTTTTAAAATCTTATCTGTTCTGTACAGAGTCTGGTACATATTACGGGGGTGTAATAGTGTATATAAGAGGATATAAATTGTAACAATGTCACGAGGACTATTTTGTAATTAGTCATGTGTGTGTATGTATATGTATATGTATATGTATATGTATATGTATATGTATATGTATATGTATATGTACATGTACACTAGAGATCCTAATTAGGGTCTTCCCATCATAATAATTCTATAGTTTTCTTGAGTATTTATTCTAATATCCAATTATAATATTTCACATGGTTTTAACAATCATACTGGGTATCCATAACACAAATTAGAATTAACACGAACTAAGTTAGAACTAACTCAGTTCGTGTTAGTTCTAACTCAGTCGTGTTAGTTCTAATTCATGAATTAGAACTTACACAAATTGAGTTAGAACTAACATAAATACGAAATAGAACTAACATGAACACTAATTAGAGCTAACATGAGTTAGAACTAACACGAACATGAAATAGAACTAACATGAACTCCAATTAGACCTAACATGAACTTTTATTAGACCTAACACAAACTTTTATTAGACCTAACATGAAATTAGACTTAGCACGAATTTTTATTAGACTTAATATGAAATTAGACTTAACACGAACTTTATTAGACCTAACAAGAAAATTTTAAGTCTAATTTCAATCATGTTAAATTCCTTTTAAGTCTAATTTAAATTATGTTAAGTCTAATTCAACTTTTTTAAGTCTAATTTTATGTTAAGTCCAATTAAATTAGACTTAAAACAAGTTGAATTAGATATAACATGATTTCATGTTAGGTCTAATAAAAGTTCGTGTTAGGTATAACAAAAGTTCATGTTAGGTCTAATTGGAGTTCATGTTAGTTCTATTTCGTGTTCGTGTTAGTTCTAACTCATGTTAGGTATAATTAGTGTTCATGTTAGTTCTATTTTATATTTTTGTTAGTTCTAACTCAATTCGTGTTAGTTCTAATTCATGAATTAGAATTAACACGAACTGAGTTAGAACTAACTCAGTTCGTGTTAGTTCTAACTCAGTTCGTATTAGTTCTAATTCATGAATTAATACTAACATGAATTGAGTTAGAACTAACACGAACACAAAATAGAACTAACATGAGTTAGAACTAACACGCACACGAAATAGAACTAACACGAATTTTTATTAGACCTAACACGAACTTTTATTAGACCTAACATGAAATTAGACCTAACACGAACTTTAATTAGACCTAACATGAAACTAGACTTAACACAAAGTTTTATTATACCTAACATGAAATTAGACTTAACATGAACTTTTATACGACCTAACACGAAATTTGAAGTCTAATTTCAATCATGTTAAATTCATTTTAAGCCTAATTTAAATCATGTTAAGTCTAATTTAATTTTTAAGTCTAATTTCATGTTAAGTCCAATTAAATTAGATTTAAAATAAGTTAAATTAGACATAACATGATTTAAATTAGACTTAAAAGAAATTAAATTAGTTTTAATAAAAGTTCGTGTTAGTTCTAATCAGGGTCGGTTCTGAGATTTTAGGGGCCTTGTGCGAAAAGTAAACACAGGGTCCTTCTCTATCATTAATTGGGGTCTTCCACTACATGAACCAAATCCTCCGACCCCCCCCCCCTCTTGCTAACATTAATTGGGGCACACGATTAACTTCTTCAATCTCAAATTGAATGCTGGGGGTCATCAAAACCAAATATAAAAACACAATGAATGGTGAACCCAAGGGTTACACATCTTGAACCATGTTGTCCTTCTATTGAATCTTGAGTAATCCAATTGATAATATAGATTACCTAATTAGGTAGAATTAGCAAATCATGTCTACAACAAATCAGTAGCCCATCACTGCACAGTTATAAAAAAAAAGCTTCATGAGTGCTTACTAGCAATCATATTCCACTCTGGCGGTCTGTCACTGAAGCAATTCATCAAACGCCTTATACACAACACCCAAAACCCACTACCAACAAGGCAACAAAACAAATACCTGCATCGACGATATCCCAAGTCCATCAAGACCCCATCCACGCCCTCATTCAGCAGATCCTCATCAATCCTGCCAAGCACAAACTTTACATACCTAAAATTCCTAAAATGAGCATAAGCCTTCAGCCCCTCAGAACCCTTCAGCAGCTCCTCAATCCGAGCTCGGCCTTTCTCGTGGGCTATCGGGTCGACGTCCAGCCCAACATAGACCTCCAGCTCCCTATGGGTCTCTTAGTCTCTATAACCTTAAAAAACCAAGCACAACAACATGTCAACATCAAGACCCAGAAACCAAATAAAAGGGAGAGAGCAGAACAGAGAGAGGATGAAAGAACTGACGGCGGAGGAGTGGCCGGTGGCGCCGAGAGTGCAGTCGACGAAGAGGCGACTGCGTCGGATGATGCGGAGGACCTCGAGAGAAAGAAATTTTTTTTGGGCCCCCAATTTTAGGGGGCCCTATGCGGTCGATCACCTCGCACACCCCCAGAGTCGGCCCTGGTTCTAATTGGAGTTCATGTTAGTTCTAATAAGAGTTCATGTTAGTTCTAAATAAACATAACATGACAGAGATAAGGACATTTTGGGGTTTTGTACTTTTTATTCTTTCTCTATGCTGAGTTGGCGGATAATAATTGCTAAAAGAGACCTGCAGCACAAGATGTCATACTTCTTGGGGCTGAACCACATGAGAAAAAGACCAAGGGGTTGCAGCTAGCACTTGAATATATTGTTTTTGGGGTATTGACACAATTTTTCCAATAATTTTTAGGCATGTAAAAAAATTTCACGTATTGAAATGTGTCCCATGTACCATCAGTTGTCACTAATAAATAATGAAAATAGCTCATCACTATACAGTGGACCCTTAGGAGTAGGATATATTAATTGCAACAAAAATCCACTAATAGTTGTGAGATATTCCCAGAACATACATGCATAAATACAAGGCAGCCATGGACAGTTCATGGTCCCTTTAAAGACCCCGAAGATGTATACATATACGTGATGAATGTGGGCCGTACCCGTATACACGTTTCGCATGCGCACATGCAAGAAAGAAAAAAAATATTTTTAAATGGTCCCTTAATATTTTTATTTTTATTTTTATTTTTTTGACTGAATGGTCCCTTGATTATACGTTAGAAGACCCGTTCTAATAGTATCACATTTAATAACTAGCAGAGCCAAGAAGAATTACGTAGTGCCTAACTATAAGGTTTGGAACAAGTCGCACTAACACATAGGAGATATAGGACCCAGCCCTAGTTATATAGACTTTTCTTCAAAATGTGATTTTCATGAAAAAAATAAAATAAAATAAAATAAATAGGATAAAATTTCAAGAAACTCCATTTTAAGTTTGGCGGATTTGGGGATAACCTCCGTAAACTTTAAAATCTCCCAAACATTTTCATTTTTTTTTTAAATTAGTCCTCCTATGCCACACGAACTAGCAAGTAGTTAAAAAGCCAAATTATCCTAACACTTCAATTACTAAAGTACGTCCTTTGTTGAACATGGATCGAACTTAAGGGGGTTTTTTTTTTCTCTCCATCAAGCCGCTTTGGTCATTTGGACGCATAAGGCTTTTTGCCCCCACGCACTTGAAATTTATCCCAATAAATAAAATTGAAAGAAAGGAACAAATAAGAAATCAAAATTTCTATGAACTTGTTAACTAATAAATGTTATTTATGATTGATGGTAAGTGATTGTGGCGCTGCCAGACTGGGGCACTGCACACAGCCAGCAGGTTGGAATTAGCTGAGTGGCGGAACGAGACAGCTTTCTTTGATTCTCTATCGCCACCCCCGCACTACACACACACCCAAACCACCCCCACCCCATCGCCCCACCCGGCCTATATATTTTCTCTCTCTTTCATCTCCTTTCTTTTTGCTGTCACATGCATATATATACATATATATATATATATATCCCTAGCTCTCTCTCTCTCTCTCTAGTCTTAGCTTTCTTTGTTGTGTTCTATTTTATCTAAAGGCCAGTGCCCTTTAATTTTCTTCCCTTCAAAGGGTTTGGCTTAATTTGTGAGAGAGAGAGAGAGAGAGATGGGAAGAGCTCCATGTTGTGATAAGGCAAATGTGAAGAAAGGGCCATGGTCACCTGAGGAGGACACCAAGCTCAAGGAGTTCATTGAAAAGTATGGCACTGGTGGCAACTGGATTGCTCTCCCTCATAAAGCTGGTAATTAATAGATAACATCTTTATAATTTCTAGAGAGAGAAAGATAGAGGTAGTTTTGTTGTATTGCATTCTCTATTATGCTGTTAAAAGTTCGGTGTGCGTGATGAATTTGAATTTAGGGCTGAAGAGATGTGGGAAGAGTTGCAGGCTGAGATGGCTCAACTATTTGAGGCCAAACATCAAGCATGGGGAATTCTCTGATGACGAGGACAGGATCATCTGCACCCTCTTTGCTACAATTGGAAGCAGGTACACCTTCTAATGTTTTTGGTGAAACAATCTCAAGCCCGAGGATTTTATACCCTAGCTACTTGTGTATTTTTAGCAAAAATATTGATGTAACCGTGCGCTCGTTGGTTCCCATAATTTTCTGCATTTAGCCTCCCATATGTTCTTATCAGAGATTGCTTGTTGCCCGGTGAAATTAAGAGAAGTTAAAGCCGTGACTTCACTCTTGTTGCCTAGTGTTTATATGCATGTTTGCTTCTTCTTTTTTTTCTCCCCCCTCCTTCAATTGTGCTTGAAATTGCAGGTGGTCCATTATAGCTGCTCAACTACCAGGGAGGACTGACAACGACATCAAGAACTACTGGAACACCAAGCTCAAGAAGAAACTGCTTGGGATTTCCCCTCCTGTTTCATCCGCTAATAACAGCAGCAGCTCTCAGAGGAAATCAACATCAACAAACCAACAGCAGCTTCTCTTTCCATCATCACAGTCAAAGCCTGTCTTCTCAGGACTTA